AATATATATACGGGAGCTATATCTGAATCTGGACCGATTTTCACGAAACTTTGCACACATCATTCTAGACTCAATTCAATACGCTATGCCAAATTTAGTTCACATCAAATGATATATAGGGACATTGGTGCGCCATTTACATAAAATCGGACGATAATATATATGGGAGCTATATATAAATCTGGATCGATTTTCACGAAACTTTGCACACATCATTGTAGATTCCATTCAGTACGCTATGCCAAATTTCGTGCACACCGAATGATATATAGAGACATTGGTGCACCATTTTCATAAAATCGGACAATAATATATATGGGATCTATATCTAAATTTGGACCGCTTTTCTTGAAACTTTGCACACATCGTTCTTGACATAATTCAGTACGCTGTGTCAAATTTCGTGCAAATCGAATGATATATAGGGACATTGGTGCACAATTTACCTTAAGTCGGACGAAAATATATATGGGAGCTATATCTAAATCTGAACCAATTATTCCCAATTTCAATAGGGTTCGTCCTTGGGCCAAATAGATGAGCTGTGCCAAATTTCATCCAATTCGGATAATAACTGCGACCTGTACTTTGTTTACAATTTAACATGCACAGACGGATGGACAGACGGACGGACAGACGGACGGACACGCATAAATCGACTCAGAAAGTGATTTTATGCATATTCTCAAAAGGAACCATGGGTCTATTTCGTTTCCTTTTGCCTGTTACAAACATGTGCACAAAGACATAATACCCTGTACCACAGTGTGGTGAAGGGTATAAAAAACCGTAAGGAAAGTAGTAATTTCGGACCGAGCCGACTTTATGATACCCTTCACCACATCAGGTATATTTTACATATGTATCCTAACAGAAATCTGAACCGATTTTAACAAAACGTCGCATATATTAATATGGACCTATCTCAATATGCTTTGCAAAATTTTGTATCAATCGGGCAATTCATGGGAGTTTGGTGCACCACTTACAAAAAACCGCCATAGGGGAGCTATATCCAAATCTGAACCGATTTTCACAAAACTTCGTATACATCAATGTGGACCTAATTCAATACGCTCTTCAAATTTTTGTCTCAATCGAAATAGATATTGAAAGTTTGGAGCACCATTTACCAAAAATCGTACGAAATTTTATATGAGAGCTATATCTAAATATGAATCGATTTCAACAAAATTTCATGCACATCAAGTACGCTGTGTAACAGTTTGTCTCAATCGGACAAAAATTGCGAGTTTGGTGCATCATTTACCTAAAATCGGACGAAACTATATATGGATCTTATTCAGTACGCTGTGCAACATTTTGTCTCAATCGGACAAAAATTGCGAGTTTGGTGCACCATTTACCTAAAATCGGACGAAACTATATATGGGAGCTATATCTAAATCTAAACCGATTTCAATGAAACTTCACAGATATCAATCTGGACTTAATTCAGTACGCTGTGCAACATTTTGTCTTATTCAGACAAAAATTGCGAGTTTGGTGTACAATTTACCTAAAATCGGACGAAACTATGTATGGGAGGTATATCTAAATCTCAAACTATTTCCACAAAACTTCGCATACATCAATCAGGACCTAATTCAGTACGATGTGCAAACTTTTGTTTTAATCGAAAAGATATTGGAAGTTTGGTGCACCGTTTACTTAAAATCGGACGAAACTACATATGGGAGCTATATCTAAATCTGAACCGATTTTCTTCAATTTCATTAGGGTTCGTCCTTGGGCTAAATAAGTGGCCTGTGCCAAATTTAATTCAAATCTGATCATAACTGCGACCTGTACTTTACTCACAAAAAAACATGGACGGCTCAGAAAGTGATTCTGTGCATATTCTCAAAAGGAACCATGCGTCTATCTTGATTCCTTTTACCTGTTACAAACATATGCACAAAGACATAACACCCTGTACCACAGTGTGGTGAAGGGTATAAAAATACAATCATCACTTCATATAGCATTTAAAAAAATATATTTTGTTTTTAAAATTTACGCTTTATATACCTTCGAAAATTATTCATAAACCAGTGAGCGGAGCAGTACGATACCCTACACAATTACCACGGAACTCTAACTCTCAGTCGATGTTTATTCCGAGCATGGGCAATATTTCGTGGTATTTGCACCCTCTTTCCCGATTAGAGGTCAACAGGACCTTTTCCTTACACTGAGATATATTTCGAATATTACAAATAGTCAGTACAGCCCTTATAATTACTTGTCCAGATTCTTTTAACGTGAGTTGTGCTGTGATGTTCGGCTTATAATTATGACCTATAGATCGATTCGCAAAAAAAAACTCAAAAAATTACGTTTTCGGTCCACTTCATCCCAATATTATTATCTGATAATAACTGAAAATTATAGGCCTTGTCCTTGACCATACGTGGATCCTCATAGAAAATTTCAAAGCGATCAGCGCTATATTTCCGCCCTCCAGTTTGGTAATAGGTTACTAAATAATATATGAATACGTAAGAACCTGTAAATATTTAAGCGTAACTCCCACATCCGAGTACATACGGCAATGTAATTGGTATCAATTTAAAGGTCAGCCACTCCTCTTGGATATACTATCAACTTCTTTGGTCTATGTCCTTCAGGGGAAATATATACGCTATAGAATACAAATTTTGTAATTTTTCACACAAAAGTCAGGGTCCATTTGACCCGCTACATATTGACCGATCTTTATCAAAACAGACATGCTTATTCTTTGGCTCGATACCCTTCTCCATGTTAAATTTCGCGATGTTTGGACCATATTTGCGGCCGCTGGAGCTACAAGAAAAACCTACAAAAATTAAGTATTTGGTCCATATCATCCCCTAAATATTAACCGATCTTTACCAAAAACAATAGGGCTCTTCATCGGCCAGAACCCATCCTACATGCAAAATTTCGTGAAGATTGGTCCATAACTGTGGCCTGTATCGTGTTTACAAATTATAATGGACAGACGGACGGACACACATGTCTAGATCGACTCAGCTAGTCGAGATATGACGATCGGTGTACTTAAAGGTGGTCTAGGACCAATATTTCGCGGCGTTACAAACTCTTGGGGCTGCACAAAGCTATAATACCCTGACAACATAGTTGTGTAGGGTATAAAAATTTGTGCAGCCCCAAGATTTTGTAACGCCGCGAAATATTGGTCCTAGACCTACCTTTAAGTATACCGATCGTCATATCTCGACTAGCTGAGTCGATCTAGACATGTGTGTCCGTCCGTCTGTCCATTATAATTTGTAAACACGATACTGGCCACAGTTATGGGCCAATCTTCACGAAATGGGTTGCATGCAGGATGGGTTCTGCCCAATGAAGACCCCTATTGTTTTTGGTAAATATCGGTTAATATTTAGAGGGTGAAATGGACCAAAAACTTTATTTTAGTCTGATTTTCTGGTCGCTCCAGAGACCGAAATTATGGCCCAAACACCGCGAATGGAGAAGGGGATTGGGCCATAGAATAGGCATGCCTTTTTTGATAAAAATCAGTCAATATTTAGCGGGTCAAAATGGACTTTTGTGTGGAAAATTACAAATTTTGTATTATATAGCGTATATATTTACCCCTGAAGGACATAGTCCCGAGAAGTTGATATTATATCCAAGAGCAGTGGTTGACCTTTAAATTAATACCAATTATAGTGTTGTATGTGCTCGGATGTGGGAGTTACACCCAAATATTTACAGGTATTTCCGTATTCGTATATTATTTAGTAACCCATTATCACTCTAGAGAGCGGAAATATAGCGCTGATCGCTTTGAAATGTTCCATGAGGCTCCATTTATGGTCAAGGACAACGCCTATAATTTTCAGTGATGATCAGATAATAATTTTGGAATGAAGTGGACCGAAAACTTAATTTTTTGTGTTATTTTCGAGTCGATCTATAGACCACAAATGAAAGCCGAACATCACAACACAGCCCACGGTGAAAGGAATCTGGACAATAGCTGTACTGAATACTCGTAATATTCGGAAGATATGTCAGTGTAAGGAAGAGGTGCTGTTTAACTCTAATCGGGCAAGAGGGTGCAAATATTACGAAATATTGCCCTGGCTCATAATAAACATCCACAGATAGTTCGATTTCCGTGGTAGTTGTGTAGGGTATCGTATAGTCGGCCCCGTCCGACTTTACTACTTTCCTTACTGGTTTTTTTTTTGTATTTTTTCGAATCGATTTATAGGCCTAACATCACTGTACTGAATATTAGTAATATTTGGAAAATATGTCAGTGTAAGGATGTGGTGCTGTTGACCTCTAATCGGGGAACAGGGTGCAAATATCACGAAATATTGCCCAGGCTCGGAAACATCCGCAGAAAGTTAGAGTTCCGTGGTAGTTGTGTAGGGTATCGTATGGTCGGCCCCGTCCGTCTATACTGCTCCGCTCACTGGTTTAAAAATTAATTTGTATAAAATGTACCTATCAAATGGTCTTCAAAAAATATATATATTTTTAAATTTTCTACGCTTTTATAGCTCTTCATTTTTTGTTACAAAATGTAGGCTTCAAAAAAAAAAAAAAACCTTCACAAAATATATATTTTTTAAATCTCCTAATTTTTTTTTTTTTTTTGCAAAATATATTGTTATATAGTCCTAAAAAATATTGATATCTTAATATAGATCTTCAAAAAAATTTTATTCGACTCTTCTTTGAAAAATTGTCTTTAAATTTCTCTAAGTGTAGAATTTTTAATAAGCAACATGTTGCTAGCTAAGGTTCGGCAAACATATACAAGCAACAACATGAACACGAACATAAAACTTGAAAAAAACTTCATGATTGTCAAAAAGCCGACACACAAATCAGATAGTTGTTGAACGCAGACGAGAAAGCAACGCAAAGCGCTTCGTCGAAATTATAGTGATTATTTATTGTTTCGAAATAACGAAGTAAACCAATTGAATAAAATAAATAAATAAACACTTGAGGAATTATCCGAAAGTCGCAAAAGAAAACTAAATAAATAAACGTGGAAATAAAATCAAAAAAATAAATAATACAAAATGCAGTTCAACAATCGTGCTATTTTGAAAATTATCGAATTGGTGAGTTTTGTGGGAATTAATAATGAACAATTTTGAAAAATAAAAAAAGGATTGAAATATGAAAAAATTACAAAATAAATAATTAAAAATTTACAAAAAAAAAAAAAAAAACAAAAAAAAAAATAAAAATTTTTAAAAAATAAATAAAAAAAATTAAAAAGAAATAAATAAAAATTTATAATGAAATAAATATTTATAATAATTTCAAAAGGTCATCAATAATAAAATGTAAACAATATTTATTTTTTCAATTTTCTTCAATTAGCCGGCCTTATGTTTAAATAATATTATTGTTTAATTCGTTTGGGTTTCTTCTTCTTCTTCTTTTTTTGTTTGTCGATAATTTATATATTTTCGAACAAAGTTTATGTATCTACATAAATTATTTAAATTATGTACATATGTATGAGTGTTTTTCTCTTTTTCTTCTTCTATTGTTTATATGTATGTGCGTGTGTTCCTCTTCTTCTTTATATTTTGGTGAACATAGAACAGATGTATGTTTTCATTTCCGTCGTTTCCTATTGGGTTTTCTTTTTTTCTTCTACTTCTTCGTGTATTCTTTCTAAGAAATCAGTTTTTTTCTGTGTGAGTGTGTGCGTGGCTTTGTAATGGCCAAACTTGTTTCTTCCAAAAAAATAGCCTTAACAAAAATTTTGTGTTCAATTTGGGAAGTTGTGAGGTTTTGTATTTAACAACAACAGCAACAATTCCTAAGGGGATAACACTGACATTGAATTTGAATTTGGTTCTTGAAATTTTTTGTTAGTTGTACTGCCTCTACAATAACAACAACAATAACCGGTTTAGGATGTTGTGTCTTATTTCAAACAATTTGCAATTGTTTTGACTTGTTGATACGGCTGAACATGATGTTTGCTGCAAGTAACAATCATTTGGCCGTTTCAAACTCGAACTGTAATGAAACACAATATTGAAAATTAAAACCAGTAAGGAAATTTCAAAAGTAGGACTGGGCCGACTATATGATATGTTACCCTTCACCACTTTGGGTACATACAAGAGATGCTCTTATGTACAATATCCATTCTATCGAAAGGATATTGTACATAAGACATAGCATCTTTGGAGGACCATTGAAATGGAATCGAACCAAATTAAGTGCGTGAAGTACATCGATATTTGAACTAAATTAAAACAACCCATACACATACCAACCTGTAGTAACTTTAATACGGTATGCAAAATTTTGTATCAATCGGAAAACATTGTCGAAATTATATATAGGAGCTATATTTAAATCGGAACCGATTCCAACGTAACTTCGCACACATCAATCTATACCTAATTCAGTAAGCTGTGCAAAATGTTGTCTTAATCGGACAAATATTGACAGTATGGTACACTATTTACTAAAAATAGGACGAACGAATATATGGGAGCTATATCTAAATCTGAACCGATTTCAACAAAATTACGCGGACATCAACCTTCAGTAATTACAGTACGCTGTGCAAAATTTTGTCTCAATCGACACAATATTGGCAGTATGGTGCACCATTTACATAAAATCGGAGAAACTATATTGGGAGATATATCTAAATCTGAACATATTCCAACAAAACTTCGCATATATAAATTTGGACTTAAGGAAACCCCCCCCCCCCCCCATTCTCGGCGTCAAAAATGTTTTTGATTTAATTCGAATCTGCACTAATCCAAGAATGTCCCTTCAAAATTTCAAATGAAAATCTCAAGAACTCTTGAAGATATAACCGATTTATTGTGTCGGCATCAAGTGACGGCTAAAGGGCTTCTCAAACTTTAAACGCGTTTTTCTCGTTTGCGAATGGCGGGCACGATAACTCAAAAACTAATAACCCAATCGATTCCAAATTTTTACACGTTTCTCTGTGAGTGTATAGCTATCGTGTGAACTAGGATAAAGCCAATCGGCGAAGATCTTCCTTATTTTTTAACTTTGTTTTTGGTCAAAAATCGGCGATTTTCCAAAAATATTTTTTCAAAGGTCCGCCATTTTGTTAATTTTAGTGCGAAGTCTATAATCCTAGTTTATACGAGAGCCTGACATGTACTCTTTCTAAAACCGTTGGAACTTTCGGATTCCGATGTTCCAGTGAGGAGTTATCATGCCCGCCATAAAAAAATAAGGACTTTTCTTTGATCACAAAAAAAAAAAAACAACAAGACAACAACAACAATTTTTTGTAAATTATTTTTCTTCCTTTTTAAATCTTCAAATATATATGTGCAAAGTTATAAACCTTAACATGCATTGGTATTCATCTACCAGCTAATTTAAAATTTTAAAAAAATCGAGAATGGGAGGGTTCCCTTAATTCAATACGCTGTGCAAAATGTTGTGCCAATCGTCCTTAATTTTACTATTTGGTGCTGCATTTACATGAAATCGGACGAAACTATATATGGGAGATATTTCTATATCTGAACCGATTTTCTCTAATTTCAATAGTGTTCGACCTTGGGCCAAATAAGTGACATGTGCCAAATGTTATCCAAATCGGATCATAATTTTACTATTTGGTGCTCCATTGTTTTTAAAACGGACAAAACTATATATGGGAGCTATATATAATTTTAACCGATTTCAACAAAACTTCGAATATATCAATCTAGACCTAATTCAGTACTCTGTGTAAAATTTTGTATCAATCGAACCAATATTGGGAGTGTGGTACACCATTTACATAAAATCGGCCGAAACTATATATGAGATCTATATCTAAACCTGAGCCAATTTTCGTCAATTTCAATAGGGTTCGTCCTTGGGCCAAATAAGTAACATGTGCCAAATTTCATCCAAATCGGATTATAAATGCGGCCTATACTTTGTTCACAAAAATACATGGACGGACCGACAGACGGGCGGATGAACATGCATAAATCGATTCTTTGCATATTCTCAAAGGGAACCATGAGTATATCTCGATTCCTTTTGTCTGTTACAAACATATGCACAGTGTGGTGAAGGGTATAAAAAAGTTTAAAATGTTCTGATGTTTGGCAGGACCCTACTTCCTATATCCCCTCTATTATAAGGTGGTCATTAAAATATCTAATATTGGTCGGGTCAAATATATATGGTAGCTATGTCAAAATATCGACCTCCCTGGAAATTGGTAGGAGATTTATCTAAAAAAAATAAGTATCAAATTACAGTCACCTAGTTTGAAAAAAAATATGCCAGGAACTTCATTTTAGCAGAAAATAATATCGGTTGTAAATTTCAAAATAATAGCTTTATTAAATCTGAATTTATTAAAAGAAACCTTCTACTGAATTTGAGGGTTACGTTTTTTTGGCGAATATGGCTCGATAGGGGGGGATGTGTCATAACATTGATCCATGTTAAATATTTTCAGAGAAAACTTTTTGTACCCTCCTAAGAACCCAAAATCCCAATTTTTAGAAGCTTCGATTGGAAAATAATCCTAGGATCAGGGAAAAATATAAAATCCAGCGGATTCTATATGGAAGCTACATATGTCAAAACACTGACCTATATTGAACATTTTCTATAAATATGCATTTAACCCTTCAAGAACCTGAAATTTCGATTTTCAGGACCTATATGGGCCAATATAAAACAATTTATAAAATTATATATCTCTTTTCTCAAATTCCCGAAAATATGGAGGACCTATAGAGTTTTTTTTGTGAATAAGCTTGTGAAACATCACGAACCAGACATTCACATTCAAATCCCCCTTCGTTTAAAAAATCCGACTAAAATACCAAACAGTGGCGGAAACTTTATATGGAGGTTTTGCCATGGACCAATATAGATAATTTTCCCCGAATATATTTTTCACCCTCTAAGAGACCGAAATACCTAATTAGATTAAATTCGGCCAAGCATTTAAAAATACCGAAAATATGGCGGGACAATTATATGAGGATCTATATCGAGTTTTCCATAAACCTGAATGTTAAATTACTGGCACTTCGATTGTAAATGTGCGGCTTAAACCTTAAAAATATCGAAAAAATGGGCCTGACATTTTTATGGTACCTACATGAATCTTTATGTGGAGGTTTTGCCATGGACCAATATCGATAATTTTCTCCTAATATATTTTTCACCCTCTAAGAGACCGGAATACCGAATTAGATTAGAATTCGGCCAAGAATTTCAAAATACCGAAAATATGGCGGGACAATTATATATATCGAGATTTTTTCATAAACCGGAATTTCAAATTACTGGCACTTGGATTGCTAATGTGCGGCTAAAACCTTAAAAATATCGAAAAAATGGACCTGTCATTTTTATGGTACCTACATGAAAACACGACAAAAGATGGGCCTCTATTGAATATTTCCTCCATAGGTGTCTGCCAGCCTCCAAGAAGGCGAAATCTCAAATTACTTCGAAATGTCGAAAAGATCCTGTAGTCGCATTTTTTCTATAGAAAAAAATTATAAACCCTTGTGGTCGCATTTTTTTCTATGGAAAAAATTTCCAGATCCATTTTTTTCTATTGCAAAAAATAGCATTGTGGTCGCGTTTTTTTTTTTTCTATAGCAAAAAATCGCAGACCATTGTAGTCGCATTTTTTCTATAGAAAAAAAAAATTCGGTCACGAGGGTCTGCGAATGGAAAAAATGGCTCATTGATTTATTTTCTGTGGAAAAATTGGGACCATTAGTGTCTGCAAATTTTTTTCTGTGTAAAAAATTTGGACAACAAGGTTCAGGGGATGGATTTTTTTCTATAAAAAAAACACTTGTGGCCCAAATTTTTTCTATTGAAAAAATTCACAGACCAATTTTTTTCCACAGAAAAAAAGTCACAGACCCTTGAGGTCCAATTTTGTTTCTATTGGCAGACCTAGGTGGCCCACATTATTTTTTCTATGAAAACAAAAAATTAAAAATTCTTATAAACAGCCTTAATCTGATTAGCAAATGTTCGCTGTAGGCTTAAAGCCATTAGAAATTATCTCATAGCGAACTATGTTGGCTGCGGATAGCCATAGCTATTTGCAGATGCTTTG